AAATGAAGATATCTGCAGTAGAACCAGAGTAACCGATATAGCCCAACGAATTAGTAAGCTGAAGTAGCAATGGGCCGGCCATATAGCTCGAAAAACTGACGAATGTATAGTATACAGGCTAACTGTGGGGCGGCCCTCCCACTGGATGAACTGACAGCCTGCAAGAAGTAGATGGATGCAGATGGCCCAGGACTGTGTTTTGTGGCATTTCTTGGGGGGGCCTTTGTTCAGCAGTAGACTTATGAAGGCTGTAATGATAATGATGATGTAGTATTGTTGCAATGTATCTTTAAGTTATACGACTTTTTACCATTGACATTGAAGACAAAATTGGCATTTAACTAATTATTATTACATTATTTCTCAAAATTTTATCGTTAATTAAATTATGTGACTCATTATAATTCAAATGGCTTAGATAATAAATTACTTAAAATATTTGCATACTGTGTTAAATATTGTGCATGTTCATGTTAACATCATTTATACCATGTATTACGCAAATAAAGATTATCAATATCACTTAAAGCCAATAATCTTAGTTTACGAAATATCAAGCTTCAAATTAGACTGCAATATGAAATGCTAATATATCTTTACTAGAGTTCTTTATAATAATTCGACTACAGAGCAGCACCGCGTATTGGGTGCAGATTTTGTGAATTTATATTTTGGTCCTAAACTAATTGTGAATTTGAGTAATTTTGAATTTGATAAAAACTTGATTACAGCGAACTTCTACGTCTTGGCTCAACAAACGCATTATGTGAATATGACGTTAATCGGTCAAGTATTAAAAAGTTTATTTACCGAAAATTATAAGGGTATTTAATGTATAAAGTCAATCAAAAAATGTATTTAAAATATTACCAACTTTGTACTATTTTTTCGTAAGAACCATACAGCAAACTGAACCGTTTAAGTTAAAATTTAAGCTTAAGGGTTTGACAAACATTATTTTACTTCGAAAGTTTCAAGTAATTCATAAAACTGCTTGGCAAGTAAGTTGCTGATGCGTAGTAGTTATAGTTATAATTTACGACTCGCAAATGATGCGATCCCAGAACTTAACGACACTTAAGTTATAAGGGTCCATTTCTCGAGCCCTCAGAATTCAACGACTTAATGTTAATAGTTTTAGCAAAGGCAACACCATGAGCGATGATAATATTTAGTAGTCTAAGCAACAAAATATTGTAGCGTTTTATTTATACACATTTTTTTAAATTACCAGTATTCCAGATAATTGCTCCAAATCAATCGAAAACGCATAAGCTAGAAGCGGCTTACTAGTGAATGAATTAATAAATAATTGATTGACATTATATAACATAACTTGTTATAACATGTTATATAACATTCAACTTCCACATAAATGAAACATGTTATATATCTCGAACGGCAGAACGACAAACGACAATGTCATATAACATTGTTATATTGCATTGTTATTCTAATGTGTACAGTATTGTTATATGTTGCAATGTTGAAAAACAATGTTACATAATGTGGACGCGTTATAAAACAAAAGTCATACAATATGTTACTTAATCTGTACGCACCCTAAAGAAATTACAACTACAAAGCAAACAAAATTAAAGAAAAATGCACATAAAAACACATTTGGTAGCAGCAACGCAAAGGCATCCGACTTTTACAGTTTGGCTTAACTATTACTGAAGCTATTGTGGCTGATTAATATTATTATAACTTTCTGTTGTCCCATTTCCTTGTCTTACTTCCCCCACGATACTCGCAGAGGTAAATGGAAAATTTATTCGCAAACGTTTTATCGTATTACATGACGTGCAGTTGGGTTTTGGGCCTGGACTATCAATTGAATACGCAATACTTTGTCTCAAGCAGACTGTGCGGTACTACACTGATAGAAAAACGCAGGTGTTTGCGTGTTTTTTTCTAAGATCTGTCTGAAGCTTTTGACTTGGTGTCTTATAGAATCGTATGACAAAAGCTTAGAAAAGAAACCAGCTTAAACCAAAATTAATCCCCATGTTTGAGAATTGGTATTTTAATCAAGCAAATGAGGTTAGATGTGGTAACTAGAATTACTAGTATGTGAGATTTAGCGACGTCTACAGAACGAAGTGTGGAGGTCTAACATCACCCAGGCCAGATCATTGAGAGGCTCAGCGGAGTAGGAGTTGAATTTTCCATAATAAGACATGGCTCTATTGAGCTTCTTCTCTGTCAACGGTCTTCAAAGGTTGCTGAAAATCTGTGAAAAATATGCTGAAGAGAATGGACTCTGTTACAACTACAAAAAAGTTAATTTCTTGTTTTAAGGGTTAATAATAAAGCATTGAATTTTAAACCAAGTTATCTAGTAACCAAACAACGGAATATAGACCGAAGGAATTAATACCATTTTGTATCTTTATGTATTTTTTATAGTATTAAACATCATACATCATCCATCATCAATACCACCCTTTACAAGTCCACTTCTGGACATTTGCCTCAACCTTAATGCCACAAAATACGTTCCTGAGCCACCTGAATCCATCGACTTCCTGAATCTCTTATCAGGTCGTACATAGATTTCGCTTAACGGTACGAGGGTGTCACTCGAGAAGTTATGGAATTTATTTACATTTTTAGTACCATTATTAAATTGCTTATACTTCGTAAATAAATAAAACTTCAAGAGTATGTAGAGAAAATCTTAGAGTAAATTTTAAAGGCTGCTTTCTGCTTCAGCTTATAGACAATAACGTTACGCAAATTAGGTAAAGCCTAGCTTGGCTTGAAAACAATCTCGTAATAAGGTTTTCTTTGAGAGCCGTACGAACGGTAACGGAAGAGAGGATTTCATTCTCTTATTGAAAATATTACTTACTTTTAAGACTTATTAAAGATATGTGTATATTATGTCTATTATGTATTCTTCTATATACAACTATATATATATTAAACATAATATTTGTTTATGTACGATGCATACTGTGTGTGTATGCATACGTGTTTGTGTGCGTTTGATAATAATTCTACTCAACGTCTAATTGTATAATGAACACTTAACTATTCATTTAATTCAATTTAAACGTTTATTTTTCATACTAAAGAAAATAAAATCTCTACGATTAATAACTTTCCGATACTCGCAGAGATTATGTCTGTTTTCATCATTCATATGTACATTGTGCTGGCTGCTTGGGTATCAATATATTATAATAATTGGTAAAATAAATTGCATGTAGCCTTATCAGTAGGCATTGCTATAAAAAAGCCAAAGCAAAATATGGTGTAAATTAAATTTCTAATGTTGTTATTCCCTAAAATGGCTGCACCATTGACTGTTCACCACCAAAATAACATTGACAACAATATTATGTGTATATTATTGTCAATGGTATCTTGATGTGTATCATTTGTTCCCGGACACTTAAAGCTAAGTTAGGCTACTTTGATCATATGAAGGCACATGAGCGTAGCCTTTCTTTGCCATCATGAAAACAAATAGAACATATGGTCGTCCGGCCAAAATCGGCAAGGACATACAAATTCGCAGGAGGACCTTAGCACTTTGTTCAATGACCTCAATACTAGGACCCTCAATACTAGGACTTACCTTGTCAGGCAACTAGTTAACTCTAACTTAGACCGAGAGTTCAATTGACGGATCCAATGCGATTTGAAGATTATGACACATTCTCTCGGCATGTATACCTCAAAACTTGAAACTTGTACAACCAGTAAGTGTTGTCAGTGATGACATAATAGATCTGAGACGTGATCCTTTATTTCTGGCCGTGAGGATGCTGGGTGCTGGAGGAAGCTCAAGGTCGCTTAACGAGCTCGGGGAAGGCTATGCTCGTAGTTTCGTTGCGTGATAGAGATAGAAATGAGGATATCCACTGAGCAACCGACGTAGCCTAATGGATCAATAAGCTAAAGTGGCAATGGGAAAACCATATCTTGTCTCAGTTATTTTTTACTTTTACCACTGGTTCGAAAAAAAAAACACATAATTCATGCAAGCTATTTATAACATTTAATTTATTAGCGATCTGTCCTAACGGCAATCTACGCAGGTTAGGATTATAATGCCCAGGTGTATGCGTAACCATAGAACCTGCACTTGAAGTTCATTCTGATACAATCAAATAGTAAAAAATAAGCAGTTTGTGGTCTATAGCATATCTATAGCTTGTGTATACTACGTAGGGTTAATAACATTATTAATGATATATAGGCATTCGTCAATTCAGAAAAGAATGTTAAACATTTTTATTTCTGAAAAGACAACAGCACAATCTAAAATAAGAACTTGATACGTATGGTATAAACCATAACTTAAGGTTACCATAGCGATATAAATGTACCAAAAGGACGCACAAATTTGTTTGAGTGCCAATTGGCTATATTGCAATGCCGAAAATAAATTCTTCTTTGTCCATATAACCACGTGACAATAATCATATTTTAAGAATTGAGTAAAATATTATAACGAAACGAAAAATAAATTTATCGTAGCCCTACGATCAATTTATAATGTGTACACTTTTTGTAAACTTCACTTAAAGATTTTGAATTCAATCCATTCTTACAAGCGGCTATCCGCTTAGTATTTATAACATGAATGATAAAACAAACCCTTATTTTACTCGAGATTTATGTTATAAATATAATATTAAAAAAAACCTTTGCATAGTGAAATTAATGTACCAAACAATAAGAAAAAGAATTAGTCACAAACACTATAATTTTGTTTGCGTGTAAATAGATAAAATATATTGTTGTGTCCAAGTACTTGGATAAATAGAAATTGAACATTAATTTAGTCGAAGTAATGAAGAAGTATAATAATATAATACTAACAAACTGTTATTTAGCTTACGTAGTTTCACAAAGTTGTTTTATTTGACATGGTGTACAACAAAAAGGAAACTACTTTCGTTTCCAATTACAAGTAAAAGAAATTCGGACGAAACTTGTATACGAAGGAACATATGTGCTTCATATTAATACTTGAGTTTCAGGGAATGAAAATATTAAAAAGGAAGAACAGAAAAGAAACGAAATATCAAACCCTCCTTTAGAAAATTACATTAATTTCCTTTCATATAAAGAAAACGATTTAACCAAAGTTTTATTTCTATAGAATTTATTTCTCTGATTGCAATGTTATGATTCCAGTTATTGAAAAATTAAAGATCAAAGAAATACTTTGACACCGAAACTGACATAGCCAATAAAATACGACAAAAATGTAGACAGGATTTAAATGAGAAGTAAAAGTATGCAGTTATTCTGCATACTAATGCCATCATATCTACTATGTCATGTACTTGCATGATGTTAGTATGAAACCACAACGGTAATTTTATGTGATAACCGACTTTGAAGAATATAGTTCCTAGACCATAATTTAATGGTCATCTTTTTTAGGGTTCCTTACCCCAAGGGTATCCAACGGAACCCTAATACTAAGTCTCTGCTGTCCGTCCGTCCGTCCGTCTGTCTGTCAGCTGTATCTTATGATCCGTAATAGGTAGACAGTTGAATTTTTCACTGAATGTGTATTTCTGTTGCCGCTACGACAACTAATAAAAATTAAAATAAATTAAAAATTAGAAGGGGCTCCCCTACTAGAAACGTGTATAAAGATGGTACGGAACCCTTCATGTGCGACTCCGGCTCGCACTTTGCGGGTTATTATTTATAGAATCAGAGTGACAAACGATCACACAGTCCACTATCTTTTCCTCTGTGCCCCCTTTTTCCATGTGCCCCCTTTTCCCCTGCGCCCCCTTTTCCCAAAAGAGTGTCGCTTCCGATTCGGCAGAAAGGCCTCATAAGCCAATGCCAGTCTCACAGGTAGTGTTTAGTCGGTACACTTAGGGTGGTTAGGTTAGGTTAGTCGCAGTGAGTCCCACGTAACCACGACAGCCGGCTGTCGTGGTATGCATAAAGCATTCACCACCTCCCTCTCGTTTACGGGGGTAGCCCTTTTCAATTGCTTCTGGGCGCAAAAAATAAACAGTCCACTTGATGTAAGTAGACGCTGCGGCCCCTAAGCACCTACACTTATTCTCGATTAAGAATCAAAATGCAGATGCTTTGTCACCCCTTAGGTATAAGATGGAATGCCTTGTTTCTATTAAAAAGGGTATCCGGTTCTTTACACTCCCCATACGAAAGACAGTAGCATTAAGTTTTTTTTTAACTTATTATAAGCCAGTGCTCGACCACAATCCCACCTGGTGGAAAGTGGTGATGCATTCCTTGATGGTAAATCGCACTGTCTTACCGTAACAAAAGCCTATTTACTCTTGCCTTGAAGACGCCCAGATTGTATTCAGATGGAAAGATAGACGCCGGCAAATTAGTCAACTCCTTTGCTGTACGCATTACAAAAGACAAAGCAAACCTTTTTGTTCTAATGCGTGGAATATCGACTACAAACGGGTGAAGACCCGCCAACCGCCTGGTTGTCCGATGGTGGAAATAAGAGGAGGAATAAAAGCGTGTAATTACTGCGCACACTCACCGAAATGCATCTTATAGAATACCGAGAGACTGGCTACTCTGCGCCTGTGCTTGAGGCTGACAAGATTAGTTTCAACCAAATCAAGGTCACCAATAAGTCTCTTAGCACGTCTCTCCACTGAGTGCAACGCTGCCAGGCGGCATTTTGCAGCACCAGCCCATATGTGATAGCAGTACTCCATGCACGACCGGACTTGCGCTTTATATAAAGTAAGAAGCTGCCCCGGCGTGAATTACCGCCGCACCCTTGCAACCAAGTTTTCTTGACTTAATAAACCGCCCATAGTTGAGGTTCGGAGAAAATTCAACCCCTAACAACTGAAGGCGGTCAGTACACTCCAAGGATATGTTCCGGAAAGTAGGAGCCAAGGTGAGCGGGCTCCTTTTAGCGGTGAGCTTATCTTTTGGAGGCGTTAAATCTCACGAGATTGGCATCGCCCCATTTAGAGACTGCCTGTAGTGTAAGATTCACACGCTCAATCATAGCCTCTCTTTCTGACTGGATTTGATCCCGATTGGCCCTTATGTATTTGACCCCGATGGGCACTTAATTGGTATCCACAATTGTGCTGTCGTCTGCATAGCCGTAGATACCGGGAATAAGCAGACCATTTATATGCAGCAGGAAGAGAGTTGCGGAGAGAACGGATCCCCGAGGAACACCGGCGTTAGTCACCACAGTATCGGATGAGGAGCCATCGACGACCACCCAGGAGACCGTTCACTCAGAAAGTCCTTCACCGAGACAATCAGGCCAGGGGATAAGCCGTACGCTGAAAGCACTTAAAACTCAGAGTCTGTTGGAGGAGCTCGTACAATGTAAATTTCATAAAAGGTTGCAACCCTCCACAACAATAGATTTGACTGATGATTCTACCACATCAAGTACAGCAGAAAGGATTACAAGCAGCAGAAGGAAATTAAGAAAATATATAAAAATTAATAAATATATTAGGAAAGTGCAAAAATTAGTTAAAACTAAAATTAATATTAAAAATTATACAAATGTATGTAAGGACTTTTCCTTACATACATTTGTATAATTTTTAATATTAAGAGTTAATTAGTAAAATTAAATTATATTCAATTGAAGTGGAAAACATGAAAAATTGTTATGAGACTGAAATAGAGTGTCTTAACTCAGAAATTTTATCACTTCAAAACTCATTACAAATTATGTCAAATAAATATAAATCTGCAGGGAATGAGATAAAAGAACACATACTGGCCATGGATAATCTGGTAAAGTCCTGGAAATATAACGAGGAACGTATTGACTCCTTATTAAAATATCAAAATGAATATCAGAGCTCACTGCCAGGTTCTTTAGGGGCAGTGTGTGTTAATAATATGACAAGCAGTAATACTTAATTTTCTTTACCTACACTCTATGATAGTACCATAACAAAGCAGATAAATTTAAAAAGTAATTCATATAATGAAAAAAATAATGTAATTGTGTATAGTGATGACATAGGCAAAAACTTGGGTATATCATTGAATAACTGTTTAAAAAGGCAACAGATAAGTAATTACTGCATGCCTGGAGCAACATTCAGTGATATTATGAATAAAATTTAAACTAGTAAATTTAACCCTAATAGTATATTAATAATTTTTGTTGGGAGAAGAGGCAATATGAATAAGAATCAATTATTAAAATATATTGAATATCTCAATAACATAAATGTGGTTAAAGTTATCTTGTTTACATTGCCTTACATAGAGGGGTGGCCACAGGAAAATAAACTAAGACATAATTTAAATTTAATGATGCATAACTTGACATGTAACAATAACTTAAATTTGACATTTAATTGTAAGAATAATAATGATAAATTTCATTTAATTGATATTAATAATTTAACTAAGAAGTTTTTGACAAGAGATAGGTATTACCTATCAAAGTATAGTTTAAGACTGGTAGCAAATACGCTATCTTATTATTTATATTTTAACTCAGCCAATGATTTGGCTACCTTGACACCTGCTTCTTTTGAGCAACAAAATAATTTTACATTTGATTTGGAACCAGTTCCAAGTAATTTAAATTAGATAATAAGACAATAGAGGTAATCTCTAGCAAAGATAATTTAAATAGCTTAGAATGCAACTTACCAATACATAATTCTGCAATTTTACAAAATAACAGTAATAAAAACTGTATCAACCTGGTGCATCAAAATATACAAGGTATGTTAGGCAAAGAATTAGAAATTGAATTATTTTTAAATAGTAACAGTATACATATTTTATGTATTACAGAACATTGGTTGAAAGATTGCAACTCCATATTTAATTTCAGTAATCACCAGGCGGTCAGTTCGTTCAATAGAGATACTAAATTACGTGGTGGCTCCTTAATATTAGCTAATAAGTCCTTATCATGTAAAGAACGTAAAGACATTGTGAGCCTCTCTGTTGAGCGCACTGTAGAAATGGCATGTGTTGAGCTTGAGCACCTTATTGTTGTCAGTGTTTACAGACCCCCATGTTTAAGTTATGATACTTTTGAAAAAATTATGGAAGAAGTTTTAGTTAAGCTTAATAAATGTGGAGACTTTAATATCAATCTCCTGAAAACTTCTTCCATCGGTATTAAATTTTGTTCCTTGTTCAAATCCTATAATCTTAATAATTTATTCTTTGAAGCTACACGTATTGCAGGGTGTAGTGCAACTTGTATTGATAATATTTTTACAAGTGTTGTACCAATCAACAAATCAATAATTCAAAAACTTAGTTCAGATCACTGTGGATAACTGGTTTCGTTACCTTATATGCACAAAAATATATTTATATATTTACCCTTATAAGCAATGAATTTAAAAAAAACCATTTACTTCTAAAACAATCTCCAGAAACAGTCGCAAGGCATTAAACGAGTGGGCGACAGTAGGAATTCATAAAAGCAGTCGAAGGTTATATGACATTTAACATGAAAGATCATATAATCCTTCCGATGCTTTTAAAGAATATGTCAAAAATTATTTTAAAATGTTTAAAAGAGTTTGCTCCACAGCCAAATCGTTACATATTAGCAATAAAATTAAGACGGCTAAGAATAAAATTAAAATGACGTGGAGTATAATTAACAGCGAACCAGTAAAGAAAAACCTCGTAACTCAAACTATCAATTAAAAATTAACAATGAATTGACTAAATCAAATCAAGAAGTCGCAGCGGTGCTTGAGAAATATTTCACTGATGTTCCTATCTTGACAACAGAGTCATTGAATACTTCTCCAACTATCGCCGAGTCATTACTTAAACAGAATGTTAATACCTGTTTAAAATAATTTAGATTTGAAAAAGTATTACCGCATAATATTGTAAAATACTTCAAAACTATTGATGTAAAGAAAACCGCAAATTTGTGGGGGATTTCCGTTACAGCGTCATATAATGTGATTTCGTCCATAATAGATTTAATTGCACCTCATCTTGCTATTTTTTTTAATACTTGTATCGATTCTGGTGTGTTTCCTGATTTAATGAAGTATAGTAAAGTAATACCTTTATTTAAATCTGGTAGTACATTGGACCCCGCTAATTATAGACCTATTTCTGTACTACCAACTCTCAGTAAAATTTTTGAAAAAATAATTTTGG